TTATATACTTGACAGGAGGATTGATTGTACTGCTCATATCGAGTATCGTCAGTAACTTGATACTCGGTCCAATCAAACGTTGTCGACGTGACCTCGATACTCGGTCCTCGGTGTCCTATTGATCATTGTTGACGTGGGTCCTCTGCAAGTGGGTCGGTATATGGGTCTGTGACAATTGTTTGTGTACGAGATCCACGTTGTATCCACTGCAGTCCTTTTTGTACAATCTCGGTTTGTATAACAGATATTGCGAGTTGTTCATGGATCGTAACAGCAGCAAACAGCTGTAACAAAGTTGTGGAGCTTGCCAACGACGCTGTGCTGTTGATATAAGTCAAATTGATCCATTGGAGCTGCCTGGGCAAGCTGTTGTTTGAAGTTAGAAACCCCTGACCCATACAATGTGGCCTTGACAGTGAGGTTGATAATATGACCAGCACAGCGGATTCAATGCTCAGTACCAAAGCAGAGGATACTAGACTGTTTGTTGAGGTAGTAGATAAGCTTCTTGTTGTTGTTAGAGGCGTTATTGCCTATGAAACAGTTGAAGTTTGACTCAAAGTTATACTCTCTGACAACTTTGAGTATTGCTGAGGCCTGTGCAGAGGCAGTGTGGTCACCCATAAGGTTGTTGAAAGCAATCAGGAGGTCTTGTTGCTTGTAATCAGCATCCACAAAGTGAGCAACAACACCCAAGAAGCTGAGATGGTTGGAAGAAGTCCATATATTGACGCTAATAGCGATCTTACTAGCAGCTGATTGGATAAGCCAGCGTACTTCAAATTGACGCTGTATGTGTCACAAAGATGCTATGAGTAGGCCCTTTAGGACTCGCTAGGAGTCTAAATCAATTACTACATACGATATCTAAGTAGGTACAAGACGTTGTGTACCGAACAGAACTCTATCAGCAATAGTCTATATACTTACGTGTGGGTTCGTTTGGTTACCGGTTAATAATCGGAACTGAGTTGGATAGGTATTGGGGTTGCAAGTCCCAGAGCGGGGCTTGCAGAATTCTAATACTCCTGCTTCGGAGGTTGCAGGCCCGCTCCGGAGGTGACCGGAGGTTGTACGTCCGCTTTGGAGGCGCGTAAGGACGCTGGGGATTTGGTGCGTACGGTCAGGGACAGTACGGAGCGGATCCGGATATTGTCAGGGGATTTGGAGAGGATACCGTGACACGGATATTGTCAGGGGATCTGGAGAGGATACCGTGACAGTGGGCTAGGCTTAGAGCCTAGGAGCAGCACAGTGTTGAAGTTGTACTTTAAGCAAAGCTTGTAAGTACTATTTGATTGGTTCTCAAGGATGAGCTCTGGTTCTGGAACAGTAAGGGTAAGTTGCCTGGGTGAAACGCCTAACGACAGCTTGGGGTAACAATGAGTAGTACAGGCAATCTGTCTAGCTCAAAGGTGTAATGGGCTAGGCCCATTGTTAGCGCCTCGGCAACAGCACAGGCCTCGGTACCTCCGAAGCGGACGTACAATCTCCGGAGCGGGCCTGCAACCTCCGAAGCGGGAGTATTAGAATTCTGCAAGTACCGCTCTGGGACTTGCCCCTTATCAAATCCATCAAGTTCTACATCGCATATTGCCCTCAGCGGCTCGCCCCTTACAAAAGGTTGGTTGAGATCCAATGACAAACTTAATTGACAAGGTTGAACACAATGCCATAAGGGCAGTGTTCCTACATGCTATATACTTGAATGACTGTACATGGTGATCTGTCTGTCTATGTGATCTGACAACACAGTGAGAGCAGTGAGAACATTCATGTAGGGTGCTCTGCATGCTCTGTTGCTGTACATTGGATCATGAGATCAGTGAGAGCATATATGCAGTCTGACAGCCGGCCTTGTTTCTGTCTCAGCTTAACCAAGACTTGCCGCTGCTCTGTTGTTGCCTACATTAGCGTGAGAGCGATCCTTGTCAGTGTTACTTAGTGTACCACTGATTGTAACACGCAGTCATGCTTTTCCACCTGTATAAATATCAACTATGCAAGCTGAATCCTGTTGATTCAACTTGCACATGCCTTTTGGCATAGGTTGGTGTATATAGTCGTGCATATTGTCTTTTAGACTCCACCCCTTACGGCTTGTCTCTATTGCCCTTTCATTACGATTTTTCTATCTGTTGTTCTATTCTACCAACAGACCCTGAGAATAGGTGTCCTTGCTTAGCAGGGTCTCTTTGGACACCCTTTGGTCTCCTAATGGAGACCCTTTGGTGCAAGAGGGTTCACCTCCACTTCTGGTTGTGTCCCTTACAACATCACAGACAATGTCGGTTGGCAATGGACTGACCAGGAAACCCATCATTGACTGTTGTGTATATATGTTGTAACTACTGTGCTCAAGAGGTGTCTGGGCTCTGTTGTCACGTCTTGTGTTGCTGTGTCCTGATAGAATGCCAAGGAGACCATAAGCACCAGCGCTAAGCCCTTCGCTAAGCGGCAACAGCAAGTCGCCTTATCGCCTTATCGCGCGAGGTCCGTGCTCGGTCTGTTTACGTCCACCCGTCATCATTGTTTTGATCAGTTTCCATCGACATTGGAGCTTGAGTATTGGCTATTGCGCTTGCAGATGCAACAGTACATTATATTACCGTCTTCATAAGTCGCAGTGCTCCACGTGTGCATCCGACTATCACATCGTCATGGCCGACCAATCGCCCGATTACAAGCAGCTGTTTCTCGATGAGCAGCGCAAACGTAAAGACGAGCAGAGCAGACGCCAGGCAGCAGAGCATGCCTATGAGCAAGAACAGCGCAAACGCGAAAATGCAGAGCAGGCGCAAAAAACTGCGGAAGAAAAAACTCGTGATACGACCTTACCCGAGTTTCTAGACGGCTGCCACGTCTACCTCCATTCAAATCTCGTCATCCAGACCGATGCGAACTTGTCAACGCGAGGCGATCCTGCAAACGCAAAGAACAAACCCCGACCCGAGCGGCTCCGTGCATGGACAGACTTCGCCTCTCAGCAGGAGGAGGTATGGGATGATCTGATGAGCTCAGACTTTGTTACGAAGCAGCTCTTTAATTCGCTGCACACCCTGAGCGGTATTGGACGGGGTCTCCAGCAAAGAATGCTGGGCTCCGAGCTGGACCTGCATGTCTTCCAACGAACGACGATCGATGACCCTGTGTCTCAGATCATCAGAGAGATGCACGGCGACCAAAGCCTCAGACGAAAGTTCGGCCTGTGCGGCGGTGTAAAGTTCGAGAACCACGCCAATACTCTCAGCCCGGAGGACGGAATAGAGGAGTCTATGCAGCGGCTGTCGGTATCTGGCACTCAGCGACGACGGTCACCGCGCCTGCAAGCAAAGGCTAGCCCATCAGCCCCGTCGAACCTCGCAGACACCGCCCGGAACGAGAAGTCACAACCTGCCCGCGCTCGAGCCGACCAATTCTGCGTTTACAACACGGGTGACAACAAACGCGTCGCCGCCTTCGTCATGGAGTACAAAGCGCCGCATAAGATCCCACTGGGCTACATCTACGAAGGTTTGGATGATATGGACCTCGACGACGTCGTCCAAGGCCGCGAGAACGAAAGCTCTCGAGACTACTTCCGCCGGCTGATGGCTGCGGTGATCACGCAGGCCTACAGCTATATGATCCAAACTGGCGTGGAATACGGATGCGTGTGCACTGGCGAAGCGAGTATTTTCCTGCGCGTCCCCCATGACCCCACGACTGTCTACTACTTCCTTTCTGTCGCAAAAGGTGATGTAGGGGACACGACCGGTTGGGCACAAGACTCAGACGGCCCGAATCGCCTCCACCTCACCGCCGTTGGACAGATGTTGGCGTTCACTCTACAAGCGATGAAGACCCCTCCTCGGAGCCAAAAGTGGCGAGATGACGCCTTTGCTCAACTGAAAAGCTGGGAGGTCGTGTTTGACGAGCTGCTTGACGAGCTTCCATCAGATGAGGCGCCGTCGTCTGAATACCGACCACCCCAAGACCCAAGTTTCCTCCGTATGTCGCCTGTTCGACTTCGGCGAAGACCTGCGCGCGCCCGCTCGCCAGATTATGCGAACACTCGAAGCCGCCCTGACTCTAGCGACGAAGAGCCTGACGTGGACACGCCCAGCCGACAGCCGGTGGTGGGATCACAAAATCTGTCCTACACACAGCCCGCAGGCAAATCCACGTCGAGCCGTAAGTCGCGCCACACGGGACAGGCTGGGCAGTACTGCACTCAGAAGTGCCTGCTTGGCCTCGTAAATGGTGGTCCGCTTGACCAGTTGTGCCCGAATGTGAAGGAGCATGGCAACGACTGTCACCGAATTCGTGTATCGACCTTCCTCAAGCGCATCCGCCAGCAGCTTTCCAAGGATCTAGACAGCAACTGTGAGCTCATAGGCATCCATGGAGCGTGTGGTGTTCCCTTCCGGGTACGGCTGGTGTCTCACGGGTACACCGTAGTTGCCAAAGCTACCCCTGTCTACTTCGTGCATTGTCTCGAGCAGGAGGCTGCTATCTACAGACAACTTCGCCCAATACAAGGCACGCATATACCAGTGTGTCTGGGTAGCATTGACATGGAAGTGCCTTATCGTTACGATGGCATCGCTGAGCTGGAACACATGATGTTCCTCAGCTACGGAGGCAAACGCCTCGACAAGCTGCAGACTGGCAAAGACAAGCTGCTCATTGCCCAGCAACTTGCTAGGTCCGTCGAGGCCATACACAGCCTCGGGGTTCTGCATACAGATCTCGAGCCGCGGAACATGTTGTGGGACGAGGATAGACGCCAGTTGATGGTGATTGACTTTGAGCGGGCGCGAGTTCCTCAATCGCGTCGTGTCCTTACTGCCATTACTGGCAATCAAAAGAACACGACAAAGTCAAGCACAGACGCAGCCAAGGTACCAGAGGACGGAAACATGTTCGTGCGAGAGAGACGTCATGCGGCCAACGAACTGCACCGACTGCGTTGACAGGTTGTTTCTGGACAGCATAGCTTGAACCAGACTCGAAGCGGATGGATTGGGGAATATCGATGTTGCGCTGCTCTCTGGTGTCAATGCGTTACCACTTGCTCCCCTCACAAGACGCGCGAGTCTGTCAATTGCAAATGATTGCGATGACTTGGTTTCAAGCATACCAGCTCGATGCGCTTCACCTCTGCAGGATACCTTAACTTCTAATGCTTGGAACTGCTTCTGCAATTAAATTCTGGCAGCGTCTGAGCGGCCTACCTGGATTGATACATCTTGGCCTGCTGCACTGATAAGAAGGGGCTCTGGTCGGAACAAGATCAGATGGCTGATGCAGAAGGTGGACTCCAAGGAGGCACAAAAAAGGCTAATCAGGAACATGACATTGGAAGACAAGCTGGCGTTGGGTGTTCGTCTACATGTTTTGCTCTCCATGTTTCTGATGCCACTCGCAACAGTGTTCAATCCTAAACTTATACTACGACCTCCTTTCCTTGAGCAAATTGTAATAGTTTATCTTCACAGCGCCTGCTGATCGGTTAGAAAAACGCTTGAATATCTCGTCTCAGGTCATCTCCTCCTTGTCTCTGTAAGAGAGGAGACGGAAATCGTCGGGACTTGTTCCAGGGTTCACGTGTGGATCGAGCGCGGAGTTGACCGACAGTTTGATTGTCGCTCTCTTCGCTGCTGCTGTCTTCAGCATTGCTAAATTCAGGATGAGGGGCATGCCGCGAAATGTGGAACTCTGGTTCGGGCGTTCGAGATGTTCTGTTTCGTCCAATGCGCGGAACGGACGCGGAATCGCGGTCCCGAAACCCAACAAGCAACCAGTACTCTTGTGTTCACTGGATCCAGTGAACAGTTCGATACTCCGCACCGAAGGGCTCCAAGCCTGGTATCGATGCTGTTGCTGAGGGCTGCGGTCTCAGGGACCGCACATGCGCCACCACAGTATCTGTCACGGTTTAGGGTGTGTCACGGTTAGGTTGCTCCTGCCTGTCGTACCTCACCTGCAATGAGAGTGACTGCCACGTCACACTAGCGTTGTTTACAGCTACTCACCTATACATACTGTTTGTAGCTTCACCCAATACAACCTCAGTTCAATCCTTCAGTTCATCCCACGTGCGTACTGTCCACGCTCCCCGACAGTATCAGAGTTGAGTTTGAAGTAGGAAGAAAGGTCGCTGGTTTCGAAGACGTTTTGAGAAGCTGTAGAACCAGCATTTGGACCACACAGGGAACTTGACCTTGCCGGTGATATGCGACACTCTCGCCCCGGATCTTTGCTTATCTGTGTCGACTTTGATCGGAATGTGTCAGGACTTGGTAAAAATTTTTTAGGAACCGTGCTCCAGTCTCTTCCCGTGCGGCGCGTTTGCCGGAATGGGCGTTGTGCCTTGACGGAAGTATGGTAGTAGCTGCTGATGCGCTTTTAATAGCATCTCAGGTTGGTTGCAGGGCTGAGTCAGTCCGACCCTTTTGCCACTGTTTCTTCGGAGTCGATTCTGGGATCTCTATCTGCATCGTCCTCTGTTGTTAAGGCTTCACTTGCGGTATAACGGTCGGCTCTCGGTCGAGACATGGCCGCTAGCGTGTGAGACAACTTCCTCCGAATGATGTGACCAGGCCGATGTCCATGGTTTGAGGACTCATCGGCATATGGTTCGAAGTCTGTGCGTCAACGAGTATGCATTGTCCTCCACTTAAAACATGAAGCAAGCGCGGGTCAATGATGCAGAAGAAGACATCGAGAGGCAGAAGTCAAGCCATTTTCGGGGGAGAGCAAAGGTGCTACCCGAGTTCCTCCACTTCTCGGAGCATCTAAAGAAGATGTTGATCAAGTTGGATCTAAGACCAATCAAGGATGTTCCTTGTCTGTTCACCAACGAGAGACTGATAGTCTTCTTTTATGTAGCGGTGTGGACCGCTGTAAAATACTTATAGCTATGGTAAACGATAATGTAGGACTATTGTGTCGATGGATTAGGGTTAGCTACAGTAGCATAACAGTTTCACAGTCAAACCTCCCTGTCCTCACCCTATTTAAACACACAACTTAGTTCAATTCAACTTCAGTGAACCTCAATTTCCATTGCCCGATACCCATCGTATTCTGCCTACAACGTTGACCGGAGCTACTCTAGTACAAGTTGAGATAGCTCATGTACGGCTATCTATATATATGTAGCTCTGCCCAGCCCATACAGCCAATTCAGCGCAGTCCTCCTTCTCTCGACATACTCCGACACATTAGAACCGAGCACGATGACAGCTTCCTGGCGCATACGAAGGGAATCCATTTCGCACAAAGGCACGCTGTAATGGATCGGCCTAGAGTATTTCGCATCTACAGATTACTAAACGCATCGTTTCCCTGGCTCCCTACAGTACTCATTAGACTGTCAAAGAACGCCATGTCAACTCCTTGAAACGGCCAATCCGCTCCACCAGCAGCAAGCTCAGGGGTCTGTTCATACTGCATCGGATTAGTCGGTAGGACCTCGTAGAACGATGATTCGGAAAGGTTGGTGTTGTCTGACGTAACCTGTGAACGCGTCGTAATCGTGCTCACATCGACTGGAGCCTGCTTGCTCACACCCTCGCGAGCAATCTTGATGACACCAAAGTACGGGACATGTACGCTGACTACCGAATCGTCGAGTAGTGTATCTGGCAACCCCGCCTCGGCAGCAGTATCATGCACACTCACTCTTCGAGCGAAGCCGCCGCCTTCGTCCAGCGATTCGGCTTGGACGGCCAACAGTCGGCGCAACAGATCTGCACTCTCAGCACTGAGAGCATCCGAGTTGAGTCGGTTCATCTCCTCCATGTGCTCTTGGGCTTGTTCAATCATGGCGCGATCCGTGATGTACTGGTGGGCGAGGAGACTTTGTGTATCTTCAGAACCGTGACTATCGAGGTGGGCTAGTAGCAAGGACATTGCAGCCATGAGGGCGAGGAAGTCGACAATTCGGCAGCTCCAGCTGTAGGCTATCTGGTTGAAACCCCGGAGCGTGATAAACCGGGACAGTAGTTCCCGCGAGGCGTTGACGCAGGTGAACATGGAGTATCTGTACTGGTTTTCGGTTGCCATTGATGACCGGAGCATATATGGGAGATGGAGCTGGTTCAGCAGGTTGTAGTGTAGCACCTGAGCGAAGAGTCGTCGAGTGTCCCAGAACAACGCTTCGGAGTTGGTTGCTGTGATGCTTTCGAGGTTTGGTGCGAGCCACCATCTGCTGGGTAGATTTCGGGCTGCTTTTTGCAGTTCGGAGTCGAGTGATCGTGTTAGAGCGTAGTCACTCGATTTAGCTGCGTTGCGATCGAGGATGCGCGAGGCGAGAATGCAGTGGATTTGCTCTAGACGGCCGGTGGGAGTATCGTTGACGAAAGTAGCACCGGAAAAGGTGCCGCTGTCGGGAACGCCTTGGGGTAGGCCTAACTGCAGACAGTCAGTATACGAACGGTTCGTCCAAGGACCACTAGCGAGAGCCTCCAGGTCCATGTTTCAGCTGCTTGTAAGGTCATTGAGCAGCCTGGGATTAACCAGCAAGCTCAATGCAACACAGGCAGAAGCTCTCGTGGGCGAGAGGGAGGAGCCACTTACCATGAGGCTCAGATGGCGGCTCAGGAAGATGATTCGGAACCACATGAGCTGCGGATGGTGTTCGGTTTGAGGGTCGAGTCTGGTGTAAGATGTTAGTGGGTGCCTCAAGGGTAGTTCTCCACTGGCGCAACGTACACTTTGTACTGTTTTCGATGTTCGGTTTGGTCCAAAGCCATCAGTTGCGCAACTCCAATTGCTCTTCGACCTGACACCCAGCTTCTTCGAAGATTGCCAACATTCGCTTGATACATGCTCTCCAGCATGACGCACTCCAGACCTTCAATGCTACCCAGAAGCTCGTCGTTGCTGGTCACAAGACTGATGGCGAGGTCGCTCAATCTGTCTCTAATTGCGCGTGGTGTTTCCGATAGCCCTTTCGGTTCTCCTCGACTTGGAAAAACGTGTTGGAGGAAGATGGCTACGTGAAGCATGTGTCTGGCGATCAAAACCGGATGAGAAGTTGGCCCGGGTCGTTTCAACAAGCTTTGAGGTGTTTGTAAACCATCTTTTTGTAGCGTGGTGTACGGTACAGTCAACATCTCATGAGCTAAGACGGGAACAAAGGGATGTGTATGGGAATTACAAATTATCTCCATATCCTGGGACAACGGTAGTGACTGGTACAAGAACTGAGACAGTCTTGCATGCTTATCTTGAGCTGTTGATGAGATGCCCACGGGAAGTCGCGATTGTTGGAAAGTCAGCGATCGTGAAGGAGCCGCCAGTTGTACTGATTCCGGTGGAGTGGGAAGATATTCAGATTCGGGCCCATTTTCACTCGGTGTCGTATGCAAGCTTCCCTCTCTCAGGATGGAAGCACGTTCTGTAGCATCATCGGGATACTCTTGACTGATGCATTTTGTGCCCCTCCGTCGACAACCGTTGCAGATGGAGTGATCGATCGGATCCAGCAAGCACTTGACCTTGCGTCGCTTGCACTCCCAGCAACTGTGGGTTCCTTTCCGTACTCTCCGCCGTTTCGATTGCACATGTACATGCGAGTCTCTATCATCGGAGGAAGACATGGCGAGGGCGAGTCATGCAAGAGCTGTGCTACAGCCTCCTGCCGCATACGAATGATAACTAGCTCCAAAGAGACGCTGTGATAGGTAGGCCTGGAGCACTCCGCAGTTTGTTTCGTCACTTTGCTGTCTCCTTACCCCTGCAGATTTTCGACGAATCGTATGTGGCAACCTGTGGTACAAAAGGAATAATAATGGCCCGACCTACTGTGCTGTTGAATGAAAGAACAAGATGCAACAGTGCAGTGGTGCGCTGGTGCGTTGGTGCGCTGGTTGTTGCCTGATCTCAAGGGATTTGGAGCTCAGCGGCTCGATTGGAGTTGCCGATCAGCCGAAATCCGCGTGCTAGAATGAAGAGCCTATCAACGGAAAACTCGCTGAAAGTAGGGCCTGAAGGCTTGCGCAGGGTGTCGTAGGGTCAAGGGCCGTCGCTGAGGTGTTTGGCAGGTTTAGATCCCATACCCCCACACAACTTCTGAGGCCCTCGTAAATTAACGCGGTCGAAAACACCGGGGATCCGACGCTCTGGTAACCCGCACTTGACACCTGGCCGCCTAGTCTGATCTGGGTGTGATGTGGGCGCTGTGAAATCAATGGAAAACAATTGCGTGCCGTATGAGAGGGCGCTCGAAGTGCAGGAGCAGCTGATCTAGGTCCTGAAGCCTTCGCAGCTGCAATTGGCGATGTTATGACGAATAGCTGCTCGAGAGTAGGGCGCGGTGGTATCGCGCCACCCGAACTGCACGTGTTTTCGGATCAATAACCCCTGTCCCCTGTCTTCGGAGGATTCAGCCGTTGCTTGTTCTTTCCTTTCCGCCGAACTCACTTCACTGTTCAACCGCTGGCGTTTGCGGAATCAAACAAAGGACTGGAATGCTGTCAAAATAAATAAGGCTAACAAACCTCTGTGTGCTGATTCTGCGCCAGAGAAGTCTACTGAACAGGTGCCTGAAGGCCTTCGCGACTCATGTTATCAAGTAGCTGGTGAGGAAACACCAGACTTTGCGTCCGTTGAAACGGCTTGTGGTTGTCTTCAAGGTGCCACGGCCGACTCGTGGCAACGGAGCCCGAATACGAGATCACGTGATGAATTTGCGGTCGAAACGTCAGACCTTGCGTCCGTGAGTCTCAGCCGTTGCATGTTCTTTCCACCGACTTGCATTTGCGCAAACAAATAGTGAGTTGAAAATGCTGACAAACGAGCTCTCTGTCTCTCTCTCTCTCTTTTCTCCGCCCGGCGCTTGGCGCTTGGTTCGGGCGACATGACCTTAGTCCGCCTTGTTTCTTTTCCCTTTTCGCACTCACTACTCACTCACCTCTATAACAATGAGAATTGTTTGAAACACGTCTACTGCTTCAACCACATTAACTCATTCAACTCTCCCACTTGAGTCGCTTCATACACCGCCTTGAACACAGAAGCAGCCACCAAAGATGCAGGAAACCGACCCCCCTTCTCCAGACACCTCCTCTGACCATCAGCTTGGCGAGAAAGAGGTGATTGCAGATGGCGACCATGGCCTGTCACCGGCGACCGACGAGGAGCCAAAAGACTACGCATCGGGACTCAAACTGGTCCTGTTCATGCTCGCCATCGGAATGAGCACATTCCTCGTCGGTCTCGAACTCGGTATCATCTCGACCGCCATCCCTGGCATCACTGACAAGTTCCACCGCGTTCAGGACATTGGATGGTACGGGTGTGCTACCTTCCTGGTCGTCGCTTCAGTCTCGTCAATGTGGGGCAAGGTGTTCAAGTACCTGAACGTCAAAGTAGCCTACCTTGTCGCCATTTTCATTGTCCTGGTTGGAAGTGTTGTTTCCGCCGCCGCTCCAAACAGTGCATCTGTGACTGTGGGACGAGCAATTCAAGGCTGGGGCATCGCTGGCACACTGAGCGGCTCTGTTATCTTGATCAACCTCGTCTCTCATCCAAAGAAGCATCCTATGCTTATCGGCATCTGGACGGGGATCTTCGTTATCGCCACTATTCTTGGACCTCTGGTCGGCGGTGCTTTCACCAGCGGAGTATCTTGGCGGTGGTGTTTCTGGATCAACTTGCCATTGGGAGCACCAATCATTGCGCTAGTGGTGTTCTTCATCCACATGCCCAAGCATGCAAAGCCAGCCCCCGCCACTTGGAAGGAGATCCTACTACAGCTCGACGTGCCTGGCTTTGTCTTCCTGTTGGCCTCACTTGTTTGCCTGGCTCTCGCTTTGCAACAAGGCGGCCAGACCCACGCATGGAGTTCAGGATCTACCATCGCGCTATTGGTCCTCTGGCCTGTCTTCACGATCATCTTTTTCGTGATTGAGTTCTTCCAGGGCGCACGCGCTATAGTCCCTCTCGCCATACTCAAACCACGTCTTACATGGTCGAACGCGCTGTTCGCCTTCTTCACAAATGCGGCCAACTACCAGGTTATCTTCTACCTACCCATCTATTTTCAGTCCGTTCATGGCATGTCCGCGATCAAGAGTGGAATTCATTTGCTTCCATTCTTGGCCTTCTTTGCTTTAGGAGCGGTCGCCAGTGGTGCGATAATAGGAAAGACGCGGTATCTGCAGCCATACGAGTTGCTCAGTGGCATTTTATCGACAGCCGGGATGGCCCTCTTCTACACTCTGGAAGTCGACTCCTCGCTGGCCCGATACGTTGGCCCGCAAATTCTCTTTGGTTTCGGTCTTGGTTTCGGCAACCAAATTCCCATGACAGCGGTGCAAGGTCTGTCAAAACCTGAAGACATGGCTAGTTCGTCTGGTCTCATTCTGAGTAAGTGCTGTCCTTAAGTCAATCTCGTGGTATCTGACGTTAACCTTCTTTAGTGATGCAAGCTATTAGTGGAACTTACTTCATCCTGATCGCGGGGTCCCTGTTCACCAACAGGATGCTGGATACTTTAAGGGTCTCCCATCCCACTTTCAACGTCGGCCAGGTCATCAGCACTGGCGCATCCGAGATCCAGCATGTCTTCCAGGGCGAGGACCTGGCTGCGGTGCTCGATGCTTACATGGTTGGCATCAAAGCGGTCTTTGCCTTCTCGCTGGCTACATGCGCGTTGACGGTACTGATTGCATTGGTCATTCCGTTCCGGAGGCTTCATGATCACGCTGCCGAGAAGAAGGGGGATGTAGAGTTGGAACCCAGTGTCTAGAGTTCCAAGAGTTGGAAGGAAAATGTAGGATGCCGATTTCCTGAGGTCGATGTGTCTATCAAGCCACATGATTAGATGATCAGTCATCCGTGGTGGAGTACAAAATGTCGCGATGTTCCAAACTTCCCACTTACGTTCTTGTAATATATATCCACCAATACCAAGAGATAGCCTACGCATGTTGAGTCTTTTTCACGCCTCATTCAATGCTCTTTCTGTACTTGCGCACCTGGAAATAACTTCTAAGAATACTGTCTCAACATATCATGTGTAGATTCATCCGGTTTAGTATTAGTTGAAGGTTTTCGGTGAGTGGATGTACGATTTCTGGTGAATGACCAGCCCTGCAACCGAGCACTCTGATCTACCTCTATGTACTTCTTGCACCACACACTCCAAGACCATGACCACCACCCACTTCGTCAATTCGTCTGTATGCAAATGCTCATCCTAATTCATTCAGAGTCCATGGCTAATCATGTGTGGCGAGTTTGTAACTTGTTACACTTTTTGTCGACTTACCTCTCCAGCGCCTTACCAAACCTTCCCACGCCTCCGTGAATACCTCCGGCCTCCCCAAACTATCCTGGAGCCTGGAAGATAGTAAAAGTGTCGGTATAGGTAGCGAAAGCTCAGTTGTCTCAGCTTTGCTTGCTTCGATAGAGGTGTGTGTTTTAGATGGCTTTCCTTCCATTCTATGACAAACCTCATACTGTTCGTGGTACGAATCTAAGATCAATCTTCTCGATAACTGTAAGGAACAGATCCTTCCAGCTGTCCGCCCAACTGTCATAATCAAACTGCGGCTGCCTGAAAGAAATGTCAAAATCTCTTACAATGCGTGCAACAGTCACTTTCATCTCTTCCATCGCCAGTGCTCTCCCTCCACATGCATGCGTTCCGTATCCAAAAGGAATCCAAGCCCTCTTATCCTTCACCAAGTTTGTCATGTCTCCTTCTTTGCTACCCTCTTGTATCAACCACCGTTGCGGCAAGAACTCGCCAGCCCTAGGAAAGTACTTCTCGTCGGACATCATAACGTGCTGACCGATCCAGATCTGCGTATGCTCGGGAATGAAGTCGCCCGTGTCGAGTGTTATGCCGCCTTTGGGAGAGATAGCTGGCGTACCTCCATGAAGAGGGGAGAACATCCGCAACCCCTCTTTTACCACCGCTTCCAGGTATCTTGCACCTCTAAGCGTCTTGCTCGACATTACTTCGTTCTCACCCAAGGTATCTCCAAGCTCTTGACGGATGCGGGCTTGAATGTCTGGTTGAGATGCCAACGCGGCGAAGGTCCGGGTCAAGGTTGTACTTATGGAGTGGGCGCCGACGGTCATGGTGATAGGTATATGCATCTTGATATCCTTGTTCGACATTTTTATACCAGTTTCTCGGTCTGGTTTCCCTAAATGTTCAAAGATATCTTCGCGTGGGGTCTTCAGTGTCTGCCTCTTCGCGAATATTCCCTCTCCTATCTGGTCGAACAGTACGCCGTCAGGATCCATGGGAAGATAGCGCAAAACTTGCTGAGCGTGTGGGAGGTGCCCCACAACCTATATTAGGAGGACTGTCAGCAATGAATTCATCAAGGTCCCAAAGGCTGCAAGTCCCGGGCGGCATACCTGCATGAGCCCCAAAAAGTTATGAATCAGTTCCACGGGCTTGAAGTCGCCTTTGCCTTTTTGTAGTCCATAATCTTGAGAGAATGCTAAGTCTAAAATGCTATTTTGAAAGAGTTAGACGCTGTTAAGTCCTAGTTGCAAAGTGGTTCTACGTACATGTCAAACGCTAGAGCATCCAATAGATGACCACACTCTACAGGCTTGCCAGACAACCTTCGCAGCTTCTCAACAGTTCTGCTCGTGTGTACATGCAGTCTCTGTGTGTAACGCAGTATCTCGGATCCAGCGAAGGCCCGTCCCCTGTGCGCATGAGATGGAAGAACGATTTGGAGGTTCGCTTAGACTTACCAGATCCGCCTCCAAGCCCCATGTATCTTATGATCTCTCAAGCTCGCAACGTTTTGTCCTCCCTGGAGATTGAAAACTTGACTGAAATTGCCTCTGATGTACTTCCCTCCGTAGAACTGATCGATCGCGCCGACATTACGAATTGATAGCTCATTTGGTCCGATCCGAACAACATCGCTGTCGAATCGTTCATGGAGTGCCTTGTGAGTTCTTGGAGTACGGCCGAGACGGGCCTCATTCGCATTCCACAGTCCAGATACGGCTGCTAATTTGGGTCCCGGGTACCTGCTGAGTGGCGAGAAATACAGTCGGCGAATGATTGTGGTGAGTGTAGAGGTGAGAATAAAGGCCGCATTGATAGTGATAAGAGAAGTAAATGAGGTCGTGAATGAGCTTCCCCTGGAAAAGAACCAGCTTAAAAGACCGTTTGCGATAACATATGGCAAAACGTATGCTTCGGTCGGGACCTCCGGGATTGGAGAAACAAACAAACAAACTGTAAATGCAGCTATGACGGCCACAATCGTATGCGTAATCATCTTGATGATAGTCGCAAAGATGAGGCTACGCAGTGAAGGTATTTGCCAACTTTCGCGAGTGGAATTTTCTCCACGCCATTCCCGAACTCTTCGTGCTTACCCCGAATCCGATTCGGCGCAGTGGAGTGGTTTCGGTCGAAGCACCGAAAAACGCTTTCTCGGAGGACTCCACAATGTTCAACCAATAACGTTGTCGCGGTGCGGCTCTGCGGGTGTGGATGCTGACGTGAGATTCAGCTATCTCTGCGGGCTGAAATGACTGCAGATCCCTGGCGCATACAAGGAAAACGTCTCCGATCTACAAAAACGATGTGATAGGTAGGCCTGGAGGACCTCGCAGTCTGTTGGTCGTTCGCTCGTCTCTGCAGATTTTAGCCGTTTTCCATCAGACGTGAAAGCCTGCGGTAAATATGCTAACGCTTGCCCATTTTAGGAAGGACGGCGAAGAAACGAAATTAGAGCAACATCTCGTACAATTAGATGCCAGGGGCCTGAGCGGATTGGTAAACTCACGGGAGATGATATGGTATAGGTCAAACAACATAAGAGCTTGGACCGAACACTTGACCGGTGCAAGTGCCGAGTAACGCAAAATGAGCAAAATAGAGGGGCATAATGCGTACATGACATTTTTGGATACACTGACCTACGTAGAAGTTTATAGGCCTACATGTTTATGATCCGCTCTATCGATCTGAGACTCTCGCGCAAAGAGATGAAGGCCTTCCTGGCACTGTCATCTTCCATCACTATCTCCAGCAAATTTCGGCTTCGTTCCTCCGTGAGTATGCCTGTGTATTCCTGAGCGCGATTTGAGATACGATAGAGGACTGGCAGTCCAAATACTCTTTCGATCGTCTCAAAGTAATGTGTGATGGCTTGTATGAGGATTTTGACCTGTAAATGACCATTTCCAACCGAGAAGCCAGCTATTTGAAGCCTTGGGACCATCTGAAGCTCGGACATAGCACTTTGTGAGCCTTCTTGTAGTCCTGTTAGTAGCCGGGAGCAAAGACAGTCATATATAGCCACGAGTTGTAGATATGCCAGCAGTATTTCGAGGACTATGACAATGCTGATAGTTGTTGAAGCGGATGGAACGTTCGCCGATCGAAGTTCATTGTCATAGTCTTCAAGGATCTTGACGAACTTTGATATGCTGTGTAGAGCATCTTCGAATCGCAGCGGTCCTGTGGAGCCAAGTTGGCTGGTGTCTCCATCGCCATTTGGACTTGTAAAGAGTACTTGATCGGGCTCGCGAGACGGCGAGTTGTTTCGAGTGCTGTGTAGAGAAAGACTCGTGCGCAGCCGGAAGAGACGATGTTCGAGATTGACGTTAGAACTTTTCAAGCCAACAAACATGTCAGAAGCATCAACGTGTCCTGTTGAGCTCTCGTACATGCCTTCCATCGGATGCCTGGTATATGCGAGTTCGTAGAAATCGATATCCCCTATCCGGGGCCGTTGGTAATCAAGCTTTGAGAAATCCGGGAAGTCTTCTTGGAGGGCTGAAGATTGGGAGGTGGTTGTCGAGGTTGGAGTCGGCAGCATACTGTCTCTTCTGTCCATTGCAGTCGCGCCTGACTCCAGGTGGTTAAGAAAGTCGATATCTACATTGTTCGAAGTAGACAGAGTGTTTGGAAGCCAATAGGAAGTAGGTAGCGCCGCAGGCCTGGGATTGTCGGAAGTAGACTCCATGCTTGCCATTGTAGCACGATTCCTCGGAGGCAGACCTGTCTGGTGAGACAATGTAGTGACACAATGTGCTTTGAGGCGGAGACATCGGCCGCATGGTAGCGATGTGTTTGGGCTCTCCCGAGGAGGGCAACGAAGTTTCATGCTGCGGCAGCGATCACAAGCTGACCGTTTAGACATGGATACCGGAGGCATGTGATGAGATATGGAATTTGAGATGTGAACTGTGTTGTATTACTACGGAGGAAAGCAGCAGCGAGGCTGATGCCAAGTGACACTGCTAACGAGCTGGAAGTACGCTAACCAAGAGGGGTGACGCTAATCGTACACACCCTCGAACACATGGCTTTGGGCGTAAGGCGTGGCACAATCAAAGTCGAGCACATGCAGTAAAGAGTACAAGTACGTAGCGAAGACTGAGGATGTGTAGATCTCGTGCGTTTTGCAGGCGTTGTCTGGCTGTCTTCTGTACCGCCCGCGCGCCCTGCCGCGTGGGTAATATAGCTGCATTATAGTACTAGCATCATTTCAGCCTTTACAAATAAGCTCAGGCAGGATCTTGGGTGCATCGGGACCATTGGGTTTTATTTGTTCTAGGCGCGGAAGGCGCCGTTACCGACGGAAACTTGGACGCGACGGCACGGGCCAGGTACCGCCTCTTGGCAGTGGGTACCGTCAACCTCTGCCGTTAAGCTGTGTTTCTCATCCTCCTGGACGGTTTTCAATGAGCAAAACTCCCTACAACGAAGGGATCCGGAGCTGAAGGGCTGACGGTATCCGTCATGCAAAGCCACGGGAAGCGCTCGATAGCACTTTGACGTCTTTCGACTCGCCTCGCACTTCCTGTAATCCGTACCATGTGCGCTTCCAGCTGACGGCAGGCAGTACTCTTCCTATATTGGAATACGCTGGACGCCTTACGTCTTACCTAGGAGCTCCCGCAGCTCTAGAGGTACGCCTCGCAGCTTACTGCCAGACTTAACTTGCACGTTGGTTGCCTAAATATGCCGCCATCGACGAGATGGGAACTGAAGGCCGTTGCAGTGAGAGGGCGAGATCCTTCCACAGTACCGTAGAGTTGAACAATTGTTGAGGATACGCTCGATGACGGAAACTGAGTGGGGCTTCCAAGGGGCGATGAGGAAGTCGCATTCACTACCCAGCGATTTCAACTACTCTCAGTCGTTCGTCCATTCCTTGTCGTATCCCTGGGGAGACGGTGCTGCGCGAGAGAGCTCCTAGCATTCACTGTACTCCTCGCTCTGATGTAAAGGCGAGCCAGTCCCTAATGAGGAAGGGAATCCAGAAGTCGCCTATCTCTGCCCTCTCACGAAGGCTGCAACATCACCGCGTCAAGACCTGGCCTATGTAAGATTATGCAAGAGCTTTCTTCTCCCGTGTTTACCGCTCTTGCTACCTTACCCAGCTTCTCGTACCGTAAGTTGTCGCATACGGCAGAAAGCTGCAGGGGTACAACAGACTGCAAGGTACTCCCGACCTACCTATCAGAACGCCTCTTTAGAGGAGAGAAGTTTCCTTCGTATGCGCTGGGAGGCTGTAAGTCGCTACGGCGAACTTGCATCGAATTCCACTTGCTTATCTTGCTAAAATGATGACAGTGCACCGATTCCGACGGGGGAGGTTCTGTTGTTCCGACTTTGTTCACCGTCGGTGTTGGCCTCCGAACTCATGATCCTCATCTACGCGTAAATGTAGCGGAAGAGGTTGTAGTTGATATAAATTGCTGGTCAGGAGGGCAGCATGCTCTATAGATTAGAAGCAAGATCTCGGTCGCGTCTCTGCTTGTCGTTTTCACTAACCGGGTTTTTCTCTTTATTATGGCCCAAGCCGAGCCTATTGCCATTGTTGGCAGTGGATGTCGTTTTGCAGGGGGTGTCGACTCGCCCTCGAAGTTATGGGAGCTCCTCCGCGAGCCTCGCGACATTCGTCGAGAAATTCCGCGCGAACGATTCAGTGTTCAAGGATTTTATCACCCCGATGGTGCTTACCACGGCCACAGCAATGTTCAGCATGCCTATCTGTTGGAACAAGATCCAAGTCACTTCGACACTGACTTTTTCGGTACGTGAACCTTTGCTACAGACGTGTCCAAAGCGTCTTACGCGACTGAATCATGTTCGGACGAATTATACTAATTTAAGTTTAGGAATCAAACCAAGTGAAGCGAAGTCGATGGATCCTCAGCAGCGCATACTCATGGAAACTGTGTATGAGGCAATTGAGGCAGCCGGAATGACCATCTCAGGCCTCAAAGGCAGTGATACATCCGTTTTTGCTGGACTCATGACGAACGATTACGGCATGTTGCTGACGCGCGATCTCGCACATGTGCCAACGTACCATGCTACTGGGATTTCCTCGGCCATCGTATCCAACAGAGTCTCGTACTTTTTCGACTGGCACGGACCTTCGATGACAGTCGACACAGGTTGCTCTGCAAGTCTGGTCGCTCTACACTTAGCAGTCCAATCACTCAGAAACGGTGAATGTGGAATGGCCCTAGCCTGCGGTACCAATCTGATCCTTGGTCCTGAATACTTCGTCATCGAAAGCAAGCTCAAGATGCTTTCTCCAGATGGTCAGAGTAAGATGTGGGATCAAGATGCCAACGGTTACGCACGTGGGGACGGTGTGACGGCTGTGGTTCTGAAGACCTTGAGCGCAGCTCTTGCTGATGGTGATCATATTGAGTGTATCATCAGGGAAACCGGTCTCAACCAGGATGGCGCAACTCCAGGAATAACAATGCCTAGCGCAAGTGCTCAGGAAGCTCTCATTCGAAACGTCTACGCCAAAGCTGGTCTAGACTTACGATCCGACACCGATCGTCCTCAATACTTCGAAGCTCACGGTACGGGGACTCCGGCTGGAGGTAAGCAACGTCTATGTACGAACTGCATGTGAGACACAGGCTGACTTCATGCACCAACATTTAGACCCAATCGAAGCCAATGCAATCCAAGATGCCTTTTTCAGAGAGCCTTTGCATCCTACTAACGGCAAGTCCGACGTTGAGGAACACCCTTTGTATGTTGGCTCCATCAAGACGGTACTCGGACATACGGAAGGGTCGGCCGGAATCGCAGCAATTCTGAAGACATCGCTGGCACTGCAAAACGCGACGATTCCGCCAAATCTCTTGTTCAACCAGCTCAGTGATCGCGTGGCTCCCTTCTACAACGGTCTCGAGATTGCCAGGTCTGCGAAGCCCTGGCCTAAGCTTGCACCAGGGCAAGTAAGACGAGCGAGCGTTAATAGCTTCGGTAAGATGGCCAATTGTGCTTGGTAATCGCACATTCGCTAACATCTCAGGCTTCGGTGGAGCGAACGCACACGCTATTCTTGAGAGCTATGAACCTCCATATCATAATGGATACTCGGCCCACGATCTTCGCCTCTTCACGCCATTTGTGTTTTCATCTTCTTCCGAGAAACTCCTGTTGGCGACCTTGCAGGCATATGGTAGCCATCTCTCCGAGTCGCCAGATGTCAACGTGGGTGATTTAGCCTGGACTTTGCGCCAAAAACGATCTCTCCTGCCTTATCGTCTCTCGATCACGGCGGATTCAATCCCCGACCTTGCTTCCAAAATCCAAACCCGGTTAGAACAAGATGGCCCAAGTGTTGGTGTTCGAGCATTGCCGATCAGTACGCCTGGAGCCAGACACCAGATTCTCGGAGTGTTCACAGGTCAAGGTGCCCAATACGCTCGCATGGGAGCTGAGTTGATCGAACAGTCCTTGATAGCCAGAACCATAATCGACGGCCTGGACCAGATGCTCTCGGAACTTCCATTGGACGACCGACCCACTTGGTCTTTGCAATCCGAGATCCTTGCCAGTGCTGAGAAATCGCGAACTCACGAAGCCAGGATATCGCAACCTGTCTGTACTGCTGTTCAGATAATGGTCGTGGACTTGCTTCGACACGCTAAAGTGGAGTTTGCCGCCGTCGTCGGTCATTCTTCTGGTGAAATTGCGGCGGCCTATGCAGCTGGTTTTCTCACAATCCGTGAAGCCATCTATATCGCTTACTACAGGGGCTTACACCTTGGCTTGGCTTCAAGCCCCCGTGGACCGAAGACACGCGGAGCAATGCTGGCTGTGGGCAGCTCGATGAAAGAGATGAGCGAGTTATGCAACTCTGATAGATTCGCCGGACGGATCTCGATTGCAGCCAGCAATTCATCTTCAAGCCTTACTATCAGTGGCGACGAGGACGCGATCGACGAATTGAAAAGGATGCTCGACAGAGAGGCGAAGTTCAATAGACGCCTAAAGGTTGACAAAGCCTATCACTCCGCGCACATGAAGCCGTGCTTTGAACCCTACGTCGCTTCGCTCAACGCCTGTGCGAGGACGAAACAGACCCAGAAGCCCAACACCCACTGTCTGTGGTTTTCCAGTGTATATGACGAAGCTATTGATCCACTCCAGGGTGTAACCGCAGCTTACTGGGCAGAGAATATGACGAAGCCGGTTCTCTTCTCACAAGCTCTCACACGCGCCACCATTCAGTCAACGTTCGATATCGCTCTCGAAGTGGGCCCGCATCCAGCTCTTGCCGGTCCTGCCAGTCAAACAATTGGAGAAGTTCGTCCGTCTGACAACGCCATTCCTTATCTTGCAATGCTTCGTCGCGGTACCTCTGCACTTGACGCATTCTCTACCGGCCTGGGTGAGCTATGGTCACGGCTCGATCACAGTGCTATCAATCTCGATAGCTACGAGAGAGCCCTTCACGGAGGGAAGCTTAACGTCTCAGTGGTCAAAGGGCTACCTTCCCGCCCATGGGACCACTCTACGAAGCACTGGCACGAAGCACGAGCTTCTCGAAACATGAGGTTGCGGACACAGAGAGTCCATCCGCTTCTAGGCGATGCGACACCTGATAGTACGCCTCATCACCTTAGCTGGCGAAACCTACTGCGCATCAAAGAGATGGAATGGCTTTCAGGCCACGAGATCCAAGGGCAAGCGGTCTTCCCGGCTGCAGGCTACATCTGTTCGGCTCTAGAAGCCTCACGCCTACTCGCCGATAAACGGAACATTCTTCTGCTCGAGCTTCAAGACTTTGCGATCCATCAAGCTGTTCCTCTGCCTGCAGACGACGCAGGGGTTGAGGTTTTGATCGAGTTAGCAGACGTCTCCACCTCCCGGGCTGGGTGTGTAGAGGCCGTGTTCACGTACTCTGCTGCTCTCGGGGCTGACGCAGAAGACCTCACACTCGCCGCAAGTGCGAGGGTCACTGTTAAGTTTGGTACCCCTTCTACCTCGACTCTCCCGGGAAGCTCTACCGGCGCTAAGCTTACACACGCCACTAATGTTGATGTGGAAGATTACTACTCAGCTTTGGCCAAACACGGGTACAACTTCAGTGGTCGGTTTTGCTCTCTGTCGCAGCTCACAAGAAAACACCGGATATCTTCAAGCTTAGTGAAGATAGACCCTTCCCAGGACGGGGATGCGTCATTGTTACTCCATCCGGCAGAGCTTGACGCCGCTTTCCAAGCCATCCTTTTAGCCATTAGCTATCCAAATGATGAACAGCTTCACACGCTTCATCTTCCAACCCAGGTCCGCCACATTCGAGTCAATCCAGCTTTGTGCAACACTTCAGACATGAGAGAAGCACGTTTCGCTCCCATCGAGGGTCGGCTTGTGGATGTTGGAGTTGATAGTGGGATTGTAGGAGATGTGTACTTCTACTCGGACAGCTCTCCCGATGCAGCTATGATACAGCTACAGGGCGCAAGGCTTGTACCACTGGGTGGATCAGCCTCCATTGAAGAAGACAAACAGCTCTACTCAACCGTTCACTGGATAGACAGCGGGCTCGACGGCATTAGTCATACGCGTGTACACCCAGACCAGAGCGAAATGATGAAGGCGTTGGAGCGACTATCAACATTTTACCTCCGGCAGATTGAGCAAGAACTTCCCGCAGATTCCCCTGCTCGATCAGAACGTCCGATCAGTTTCTACCTTGACCATGCTCGACGTACAACATCTCTTATTGACAATGGGAAGCACGGCTGGGCAAACAAGGACTGGAAAGACGACACTTTGCACAGCGTAATGGATGCGACCACGACGTTCCAGAAGTTACCTGATGTGCGTCTCATGCATTTGGTGGGACAGTCCATGCCACGTGTTCTGGCAGGGAAGACCACGATGATGGAAGAATTTCGCCGGTCCAATCTACTTCGCGAATACTACGCTCATGGTGCTGTGACACAAGCATCAGCTTCCTGGATCGTCGATATGATGAAGCAGATTGTGGATCGCTACCCTCATCTGAACATCTTGGAAATTGGTGAGTCGTGTCCGGCCTTGAGTCGTGAACACCTTTTGCGAGAGAAGCTCAACCAGCTAACAGACCAAGGTGCTGGTGCAGGACAGTCTGTGACGGAAAGAATACCTCAGGCCATCAACAGTACTCTGTTCAACTACACGTACGCGAACATTTCTGGATCGATTCAGAAGGATGGATCAGCATTCTTCTCTGAGCCAAACGACCCTAAGCCCGTGAAGATTTTCGATGCCGAAGCGGATCCTGCTAGTCAAGGTTATGTCGAAGGCTCATATGATGTCGTCATCGCATTCTGGGTCATTCATGCGACGACAAACTTGGAGCTCACCCTGCGCAATCTCCGAAGGCTGCTGAAGCCTGGTGGATATCTCATCATCGCTGAGGGTGGCTACAATAGCAGCAGTGGTGATGGCGGCCTCAATTTCATCTTCGGGACGCTTCCCGGATGGTGGCTCGGAGCTGACCAAGGACGCGTATTGTCACCGTACTTGTCCATGGCCGAATGGAAGCAATTGCTGGAGGCAACCGGATTCTCGGGTATCGAAGTGTCACCTCCAACTGAGCTGGCAGAGACGTTTGGCGTCGCAACGTTTGTTTCCCAAGCTGTTGACGATCAAATGAGCTACCTCAGGGACCCCATTGGTTCGGCGTCTGCAGTCTCTCCAGTAGAGGACCTGGTTCTCATTGGCGGACGTACTCATCGAAGCGCACATCTTATGGATGGTCTCCAGCAATACTTCTCAACTTCCGTGGCCCAACTTCGTGTGTTTGGCACTCTCGAGGAGGTTGATCATGTCACTCTTAGCCAAGCGACTACGATGGTGAGCTTGACGGAGCTCGACGAGCCAGTGTTCCTTGATATGACGGCTGCAAGATTCGACGCATTCAAGACTCTGTTCGGAACTGGAAAGACTCTTCTTTGGGTCACAAATGGTCGACTGACAGATGAACCCTATGTCAACCTCACGCTGGGATTCGGAAGGACGGCCGTGGTTGAGACACCAGATTTGCGCTTGCAGCAACTGGACCTTGAGGATCCCCAAACTACGGATCCTCTCCTCATTGCTAAGACCCTTCTACGCTTTGTGCAAGCGGTTCCAGAATCAGCTTTGTGGTCTGTTGAGCCAGAAATCGTCGTTGACTCCGCGGGCCGCGAGTTGGTGCCGCGTCTGAGGCCAATACCTGCCCTCAACGATCGCTACAATTCTTCAAAGCGTAGGATCGAGCGCAAAGTCGGATTGGAGGAATGCCTCGTGTCACTCGAGGTGACTGACGAAGGGTATACCGCCAAAGTGAACGCAAATCACACCCCGGATGCGGGCGCAGACTTAGCTCGTGCTTTTCTCAACCTCAAGACACTATACACCTCGACAAACGCCATTAAGACTACCGTCGGTCACAAGTTCATCGTTCTGTGTCAGGATCCCACTACCCATTTTATGGTTCTGGCGCTCGTGCCGTCATTGGCTTCGACGTATCGTCTTCCAGTGGAGTCAGTAGTCCTTCTTGGTACATCGTACGATGCAACCTTCCTTAGCCACCTAGCAGCTCACCTAATCTCCGTTTCCATTTTGGATACGGTTCGTGCAGGTCAGCTTGTTGCCCTTCACAACGCTAAGGATCCGCTCGCTACCGCGATCAAAGTTCAGGCGTCTTTCCGAGGCATTGAGCTACTCTTTACAGCCGATTCTACTGTGACCGATGCAGTCGAGCCAAATCTGAGGCTTCCCCCGTACATGACTCAGTCAGAGCTTAACCACCTGTTACCAGGAGATATCTCACTGTTCGTCGGGCTTTCAAATTCGGCAGAGGTTCGATGGCTCAATGAAGAGACAATTATGTCGAATCTCCCGACACACTGTCGACGAGAGACCGTGAAGACCCTCAGTGCTCGCCAGGGCCTTTCGAGTACGACAGGCACCGCAGAAGCCATCCGCACCGCCCTGAAGCACATCGGAACAAACCTGATCACTGGACTACCCACCACCATTACCGTCAGCAGTCTACTTGAGCCTGATCATGTGTTGGAAGATCCTCTAACAGTCGTTGACTGGACAGCCCATACGCCACTTTTGGCCGCTGTTACTCAACTCGACGCTCAGCAGATGTTTGATGACAACAAGACGTATTGGATTCTTGGCTTGTCGGCCGCCCTGGCGGTCTCCCTCTTCGACTGGATGATTGAGAAGGGCGCGAAGAACCTCGTCTTCACCAGTCGAAGGCCCCAGCTCGAGGAAGCATGGATTGAGTCACACAAGAGCCGTGGCGTTCGGGTATTGGCGTTGCCTTGGTAAGTATACTGGCTGTTCAAATTCGTCAGACACTGACAGATGTGCAGTGATATTACAAACGAAGACGCCCTGAAGACAGCACATTCAACCATATGTTCCAGCTTGCCTCCTGTTGGCGGCATCTTGAACGGCGCTGCGCTATTCCGAGACACGTCGATTTCCAACATGTCTTTGGACCAACTCTACGACGTCCTCCGTCCCAAGGTGTTGGGTAGTTTGTATCTGGACCAGCTCTTTTACGACCAGCCTCTGGACTTTTTCATACTTACCGCCTCCATCACCGGTCTTCTCGGCAGTGCAGGGCAAGCAAACTACACCGCCGCTAACCAGTTCCTGTGTGGTCTGGCTGGGCAGCGCAGAAAACGCGGATTGGCCGCTACTGCAATCAACCTAGGAGCCATCGCTGGAGTAGGATTGCTAGAGCGGGAGGACAAGAAGGTCCTGGAGTCTATCATGCAGAGACTGTCGCTCATGCCGGTGTCGGAAGGCGACTTCCATCAAATCATTGCAGAAGCCATTGAGTTTGGACGCCCAGATTCTTCCCTTCATGGGCCGGAGCTTACTACAGCTCTTCGTGCCATTTCAAGGGATACGCCCAATCCGCCTGCAATCTTCACCAACCCTCTGCTCTCACACTATCTTTCGGCTGAGTCGGACGACAAGGGGGCAAGGGGACCAAAAGGCGCTAAGCCAATCAAGGAGCTGCTTGCAGAGTGCGAGACGGAAGAGGAGCTGCAGAACATTGTGAAGGGTATGCGGATTCAAAGACGAACTGTGCTAAGGATTAGGCTAACGATCATAGGGGCGTTCTCGAATGAGCTGCGCAAGACTTTACAATCCACTAGTAGCGATGACGACCTCATGGAAATGCGGAGTGCCGATCTGGGCATTGACTCTCTCGTTTCCATTGACCTCCGGACGTGGTTCACCAAGAACCTCAAGGTCAATATGCCAGTGTTGAAGATCCTGAGCAACGATACCATCATCAGCTTGGTTCTGTTCGCCGCAGAAAATGTTCCCTCGGAGATGGTACCAAACATCGCCAGCAGGGCCGCTTCGAACGCACACTCGGACGGCAACGGCACGGTCAACGGCAATGGCGCACATGCGAATGGTGCCGAACTGGACTGGGATGTCGAGACTTCTCCGCCAAGTGACCTAGCCGAAGCCGCCACGGCTGCTGCCGTGGGAATTACGGCTAATCCCGATCCGAGCACCGTACTCCTTACTGGAGCCAGTGGCTTATTAGGGCACCATATACTCACAGCACTGTTAGAGCAAACATCAGTCAAGAAGATTATCTGTATTGCAGTGCGACGACTGCAGGAGAGGTTGGACAGTGGGGAGCTTCCAACTGACAAGCGCATCGTGTACCACCAAGGCGAGCTTGACGCGCCCCGTCTCGGGCTCTCCCAAGAAGAAGCAGCGACAATCTTTGGAGAGATCGGAGCAGTTATCCACAACGGCGCCGACACTTCCCATCTCAAGTCGTACTATGACTTGCGCCCCGCCAACGTCGACTCCACGATCGAACTCATCCGCTGGTGTCTGCCACGCAAGATCCCCATGCACTTCGTGTCTTCCAATGCGGTGGGTCGGTACTCCAACAAGGAGGAAATCGGCGAGGTTGCTATCAACTCACCCCGCTCACCGAAACCACCAGCGGATGGCTCGTCAGGATATCGCTCAACCAAATGGGTCGCTGAGGGGCTGCTTGAGAAGGTGTCTGACACTTACGCCCTCCCAATCTGGATACACCGTCCCTCGACTATCATTCGTACCGGCAAGGACGCCGAAGGTCTCGCTGCCCAGTTGGACTGGATGAATGCCCTGATTCAGTACATGGACAAGCTGTCGGCAGTCCCCAAACTCAATCACGTCACTGGTTTTCTGGATCTCGTACACGCACGAACTGTATGTACTGGCATCGTGGATCATGTCATAGGAGGGAATGAACGTGTTACAGGAGGAAAGGTTAGATATGTACACCATATGGGCGATCTCCTGCTTCCGCTTGCGAGACTGGAAGCAATTGGCGAAGGATCAGGCAAGAAGTTCCGACAACTGCCGAGAGAGGAATGGACGTCCGAGGCTGTCACCGCTGGAATGCACCCAGCTGTCGTGGTCTTGCTCGAGATGATGGATGCGCCTGGTTTGAAGGGGCCGCCGCTTTTCGTCAAAGGTCCTGGTTCACCCCACGAACCTTGACCAGTGGCATGACGTTACGATCTACGCTACTTCGCTACTAATTTTCCATATTGGATGCTCTACTCTAAGTTCCTTCAAAGACCTATAAACATGGCAAAGCTCACAACATGTACTGTTTCGCATACTTCGATCGCTGGACGTTTAATACATACCTTTTGGTTGCACGTCGTGTCTCCGCCTGCCTGCACTTCCTCCTCGTTTCAGTCCAGAAAATACTAACAGTGAAATTGTTCTCTGTAGAACACTATCGCTCATCTCAGGCATCTCTGCCACCTTCACGGCAACCTGAGCCTGAGTTTAATGCGTTCACTTAGCCATCTGAGCCACTGTTTGTGGCAGGAGATGAGGACGATAAGGTTATGGACGACCCCAACCCAGAGGAGCCGCCACCATCGTACCAGTCAACACCTACTACACCTATCGCTGCTCCTTCTGCTCTCAACCTGCGCCACGGCAGCAGTACACAGTCTCAACAGCTGCCACGATTAGCTGTAAATGCGGACATCCCGCTTAGTTTTGACTGCCAATGGAGAGCTTATTTTGACAAATCAGCTGGGTCAATACGTACTCAGTTATCCGGAGCTCATACCTTACTTTGGAGAACCAATGAGGCCAAGTACAGCGTACTCAAAGGATGGGTAGATGATGTCATTGTAAAGCAGCACCCAGCCGTCAAGCAGTACGACCTACAGGCTATCGTCTACCCAGCAGGTCAGCAAGCACGCTTCAAGAAAGTAGAGAGCTTTCATAAAGTAGTCCACCCTGATCGGAGTATGCTCGTGGTGACGGAGCTGATGAAGAAGCTTGGTTATGAGCATCCAGGCAAGGAGATAGCAGTGGACTTTGAGCTCACTGTAGTACTGGCTACTCCACCTGCACCAGTTATTCCTACTGGCAGCAGTATTCAACGCCAATCTGCCACAGTTGGGCCGAGGATAGTTGACTTGTTGGCCACTGAGGGACCTCGAACTGGGGTCACAAACCACTGGAGATATTGCTCTCCATACTGCCGCAACTATCAACTCACCTGCTGGGTTGACCTCTAGGATGAGGAGGAGTTGACTGGACGCGTGGAGAACTATTACCCGGTCAAGGCTACTATCCTCCACACTTGGAATTTTGAGGTTATCAACTCTGTCTCAAGTGTTGATAACCCCTCTGTCAACATCCGACAAGCCTCAACTTCTTCCCTTTGCGTAGGGTTCACCAACTCCAAGAGAACCAGAATCTGCCAAGCCTGCACTAACCTTGAGGCTTAGCCATCAAGGATTCGTCTAATCTCATCTCATTTGGCCTCTGACGGCGCCAATGCATCCTGTGTCTGATTGCCTGCCTACAGTGACCTCACAGAATGGCTGCAAACTGGCTCCCCTCACACTTGCAGCAGTCATCAATCGCATTGAAGCCGGAATTAACAACACACAAACATGTTACCAGACTGACTGGTGTTACACAGAAGTGTACCTGTACAAAGTAACACAACTTAGAGTCATGGGGTCAGTCATATGCACCAAACCGTGTGAAGATTGGACGACCAAGCACAATTTGAGACATCCACAGGAGCCACCTGTGCAAGTATCTCAAAGGCAGACCACATGCGTACTTGTAGGAGATAAGATACTGGTCATATGACAAGTTTGACATACCCATGAGCATCACACTGGTGTTTTGTGAGCTCAAGAATATGAAATGGAGCTGCAAAGTTGCAACCAAAAGAGCAAGCGAGCAATCTGACACATTGTATAGAGTTTTCAGAGCACATGTGCAGTTGAATTACACTACTGAGCAGTTTGTTGTAATAAATGAGGGTGCTTGCAATAAGCGTACTGGCAGTTGCAAGTACAGTTGGAGTCCTGTTAGTTGCTCTGTTGAACTGGAGTATTCTATGAAATGGTCAGAGTAATGTAGTCTTCTGCCAGCAATGAAAGTGGAGGGTTACTTTGCGCACACTGTCTTTCAAGGCGCTATTACTGCAGAAATCATGGAGGAGTTCTTGCAGAAAGATGTGCTGCCGCTCTTGCAACCTGGGTATCACATACTGTTGATGAATGTTGCGGTATTAGTCGGTCCATACGAGACCCTGTTACCCTTGCTCATACTGTTCTGGATTAGCACGTTCCAGAGTCAGTATATAGTCGTCTTCTCACTAGACAGCAACTCAGCGCACTATTCCATCGACCCGATAGTCCTACGTTATCGTTTACCGTAGCTATCAGTGTTCTACAGCGGTCCACAGCGCTACACACAACATGTACAACTCGCCAAAGACCGCAAGCATCAGACGGAGCACACTACCGCAGATTCGAAAAGCAATGCACAACCCCGAAATGGACGAGTAGATACCGCTGGGCGACTCCAACCTGCATCACCTGCTGTGGAGAGGGCTAAACAGGGGAGTCACTGACTCGAAATCAGAGGGTTTGATAGACATTACAGAAGACTTTGCGCTCCGCAGTACGCTTTTGCCAGGAACAATCACGTACGAGAAAGGCCGGTCACAGTCTACAATTGACCTCTGCTTAACAACCATGGAACTACAGTCACCTTCCTTTAATCTGGGCGCGCATCCGCACAAGCCACCTCACCAACATTTCCATTACAACTTTGAGTAGTTGTAGCACCACCAACAACAGACTGAATCAAATGGTTTATGGCTCATTTTACTCGTAAAAGCCTAGTATCTTGTTTGGTAACCATCTGCCTTAATAACAGCATTGATACAGTCCTGCATGCTGTGAATAAGGCGATGGATCAGTGTATCAGGTATGGTCAACCACACTACTTTCAAAGCCTCACAGAATGCCTCCCAATCCTCCTGAGACTCTCCTATGATATCGAATTCGGGGTAAGCAAGGTGCATGGCCCTAATAAGTGCCCACCAGAGGTGTTCAATGGGGTTAAGGTCTGGTGAGTATGGTGGGTGATTGATCATCCATATGCCGTGACGCTCCAGGTAATCCTTGGTCTTTTTTGCAGTATGAACCCGGGCGTTATCCTGCATAAACTGCTCCCTGGCTTGTAATAGGGTAAGAGACCTTCGTCTAGTGCTTTAAGATAGGACCAGGCGGTATATCCTTGTCCTTTGGAGGTGTTATCCCTTTCCGTGATCACCAGAGGAGACCTCCCAACCCGACCCCCCAAAGTAACCCAAACTGAAGCCCAAACCATCTGTTGTTTACCACGATTAGTTGTCACTTCTTTGACTTTATTATGGTCCCACTTCTCCTCTGGAAGCCTGAACACCCACTCAGCTATTACGATCCATGAACAACTTGCAAAACAACACTGAACAAACAGGACTACGCAACGAGACGAGAGCAGCCAAGGAACTGCAGTATTGATTGACCGAGCTGTGAAGCCGCGTCAGTGATACCCAGTATAATCAACACTTGCAATATCTGTTATACGAACTGGGATTGTATGAAAAGGACTGCAGTGGATACAACGTGGATGTTGTACACAAACAATCGTCACCGACCCATAT